TCAACCTGTGGCAAATGCGCACGGCTGGCGGACAGCAAGGAAACGGAGGCCCAGAGGAGAAATGGCTGCACGTGGCCGCAGGGGTCTCGGCCAGGGCTGGACTCAGGCCAGCCCTCTGAGTCCCAGCACAGCGCTTTCTCACTGGCCGCTGGCGGCCCGCCACTGTTAGACTCGCTCCTCGCCAATTTACATCTTGAGTAGGAACCCAAGATGCCAGTTCTTTAATGAGTTTGTCCACACTGCAATTTATGAGTCCCTAAGCCCTCAGCAGGCTGGGCTCTGCCAGGCTTAATTTACACAGTTCCTGGGCCTTCCAGCACCCCCATCAACGTCAGCCCAGCCGCTGCGGCTGCTCGCCTCGCTGTTTGACGGCGTCCCGGTCATGTCTCCATCCATTTTCATGTCGCCAGCTTGTTTACCCTTGAGCACCCGGTTCTCCTCATCCTCGGAAATTCTAAGTTTCCCCCCAGCAGGTGGAAGCCTGGCCCACCTCTGGGCTCTAGCTTCTGCCCCTCACCTGCCCCTCCTCCACTGGAAGCCAGACCCCCTCCCCTCCTCATCACCCCTTCTCTTTAACTGCAAAGCAAGGTCCCCGCCTCTGTGAAGCAACATTCCCCACTTTAACGAGTGTCATCGGTTAGACAAGAGCAAGCAGGAGAGAGAAAGCCCAGAGCTGGTACAAATGTGCCTTTTTTAATGCCACACAAATCACCTTAATTAAAAATTAATTAAATGCCCTAAAATTTGACATTCATTTAAGAAAGAAATTTGGATGAGGAAAGTTGTGTCGATTTCATAGCATCAAATCTCCAAGTCACGACTGAAGCAGGGGAATGAGTTGGATTTCCTTTGGAGTGCAGTTAGGGAGAAGAGATCTCAGAGAGTGAGATGGTTTGGAACAGCAGTGCGTGGAACCTGACCCTGGCCCACGTGTCTCGGGTGCAAATCTACACTCATTTCCACTGAAAGGCGGCTAAAGGGGCCTTGTTTCAGGGGAGATGCTCCAGAATGACAGGGTGAGTGGCTCGTGAGGATGGGTTAAAGGGCAGAGGCTTCAGGGAGAGCCACAACAGTCCTTACTAGTAAAGTTGGCACTGATGATGCCATAGTTGGCACTGAAGATGCCATTGAGTTTACACCAACAGCCATTGCCCAGAATCAGGAAGAAGATAGTGGGGTCTTGGAGGTTGGCTCAGAGGCCACACGCTCATTTACCAGGGGCAGTGGAGAACCATGCAGGTAGAGGCCCCCTGAGGCACCCAGGAGCAGTTCTCCACCCAGGGCCCACAAGAACCGTCCAGGGGCTTTTCCAACCTCGGGCCACTTCTCCGGACACTGAATTCTTTGGTCTAAAGTACAGCCTGAACACCAACGGAATTTCTTGTTTCCCAAGGGACTCAGGGGAGCTGTGGCAGAAAGGCCTCCTAATCCGAATTTGGGGTGGAGGGCTCCCCTGGGGCCACTGACCAGGGTCTGGCCTTCGCCTGTGATGTACCAGTTGCAGGATCCCAGGCAACAGAGCCCTTAGCAGGAGGCAGTTGCGTGTGGTGCTTGCTGTTAAAAAGCATTTCTCAGTACAATATTGAGCCTTTTTCATCCTTGATCTTCTGATTAATCGAATGGTAATAATAATATCTGTTCTGCCAGGTTTTTATGAGGTTGAAGCAGGAAAGGATTAGGAAAGCACATTGTAAGCTGTTAAAATGTTATATACAAAGGCAAGAAATGATGAGAGACTGCGACCCCCAGCGACTTATATCATTATTCTGGTAAAAACTGCTCTTACAAAGGTAATAAATAAATAATTGTAGAGGAGATCTACATTAGCAAAAGCACCAAGCACCAGCACTCTCCAAAGTGGCTGGATCCCAGATCTCCCTAACCTCTCTGCAGCTAGAAGGCTTGGGAGTTTCGGGGGTTCCCAGGTATTACGGCACTTGCGGGTGGCCACCCATGAAGGCCAGCAGGATGCAGGGACAGACCGGCTCTCCCAGTCCAGCCCTCCGCCCCTTCTTGACTGCCTGGGGGCAGTTTAAACCATCCAGACCCTCAGGCCAGCCCACTCCATAGCCACAATCATTTCACAGCCACAGAAAGGATGCTGTTTAAGAAACTCAGGCCCTTGATTAAAACTATTCACCAAGGGTACTTTCCTCCTTGGAATTTATGGGCCCCATAAAAAAAAAAGAACTTGAGAAGACAGAGCGGTTGTTTTTTGTTGCGGCTCATTAGTTTTGAGTTTGGGCTGGCAGTAAAGATCAGAGTACCAGGCGTCCATCTAATTGAATCTTTCGCAAGCATAAAGTGCCCTGTGGTACAGAGGGGATACCAGGGAGCCTGGTCTCTCCAGGGGAGCAGGAGATGGGAGGACTGGTAGATGCTGAAATGGGGCATTTCGCTGGGTTTCGGCTGGACTTGATCCGAGGAAGAAATGTTCTGGACATCAACTTGGGGGGCGGCCAGAGAGCCCAGGACCACTACCCCCATGGCTCTACTCTTCCTTTGTCATGGTTGGTGACCAAAGGGCAGGCTTTCCCCCGCTTCTGTACCCATTATCACCACCCCAGAGGACACCCCCATCACCTGGGGGTGCAATGTGCAGATTCCCAAGGCAGACACAGTACAAAAGAGAGAACAAGATGCCAGAACCATGAGTTTCTACTGATCCCGGCAAGGCTTTGTATTTTCATGTTTTTGATGGACACACCTACAGCTAATACTGAGGACCAATGCAATCCCCAAATTAGGGGCGACCGCCACACAGGGCATCGATGCAGCACAAAAAACTTGCTACCTCCCTTCTTCAAGTCATAGTTTGGTGACGAAGACAGGCATACCACGGCCGGTTGACGTATATGCAAGGAAGGAAAAGTTAAAAGAGTTACAGACATTTAAATGAAAGGACTGTCTGTGGGGGTGGAGAATGGGGTAGGCGAGGGAAGGGAGTCGGGATCCCCTTCCACTCCTGGAAGGTGTGGATGATGAAGGCAACACACACATTACCGCCCCATCCCACAGTGAAGGTAAAGAAGGCACCACCGAGCATCACCAAGGAGAAAGGAATAGTTTGAATTACTTACCCATTTCAAACTGCTGTATCTAGGTATGCTATAAACAGAATGAAAATATATTTACAATACTGAAATTATCAAATATATAAAAAATAGGTGTGCATCCTTACTCATCATTTCATACACTTCAATAGGGAAACTTGAAGATACAGATAAAAAGAAAAATTGGCAAAAGGAAGTGGGTGATTTCTGATTAGTCAGAGTAAAGTAAAGCTAGGAATGTGGTGATTCCGCCTCACTCTCAGAGAAATACAAATAATATCTTTAGTTAGAAATTAAAATCATGACAATGTTCGGGGTGGTCAGGATGTAGAAACGGGAACGTGAGGGTCTGAACGCAGCGGAGAGAGTGTAAATTGGATTAACTTCTAGAAAGCAATTTTACAATATGTTATCAGGAGCCTTTAAAATGTTTATACCCTTTGATTCCGTAATTCTACTTCTGGGAATCTATCCTATGAAAATGATCTGAAATGCAGGCAAAGGTTTATGCTCAAAGACATTCTTCAAAGTGTCATTATAAACAGCCTAACAATCCAATCATTGAATAATACTGAAATAAATGATGGTACCTATCATGCCCTATGGCTGTCATGAGAAAGTATTCTTCTAGGGGATTTTTAAAACTTTGGAAGAGCTTGTTGACATGACCTTCATTATTTTAAGGCATAGATACACACATGGCACAGCTATATTCACTTTTAAAGCACTGGCCAAAAGAGAGAATTCTACTATGATGTGAAAAATGATGGCCCTCTGGGTGGAGGGAACAGTTCAATGAACCAGAAAAGCATGGCATTTTAGATATGAAAGATCATCTAACCTAGAGTCCCCCATCACAATCAGCTGGGAGGTTACTAAGATGTACTAAGGGAAGCCTCATTGCACAGCCACGGTTGAAGAAGGCCACCCCCTAGGTGAGGCTCAGAGAGGCTGTGCTCTGACACATGGGTGCCTGACTCACCCTCCCCAAGCCGCCAGCCTAGCATTGACGGGAGGATGGGGAGACTACTAAGGAACAGCTGCCACCGGGATGCAGCTAGAATAACAGGACAGAGTGCAAGGCAGCCAACCTTGAGGGGTCCACCCATGTGGGCACTGCCTGCCCATCTCAGGGGCCAGGGGCTCCTCAACCCCCCATGCAGCAAGAACCTGCTGGCAGGAGACACAGAAGTGCCAGCAAAGCCCTAGCTTGAAGGATCCCAGGCAGAGTCCCCATTCTGTAGACAGACTGGGCGAGGCCAACTGATGCTTGGCTTTGGGACCACAGGTTAATCATCATAATGTATTGTTCTCGATGCAGAAATGAATAGCCGATAATATGTCCATTATAAATTGCCCCCTGTCCTTCCTGCACTGGGTAATATGATCTTGCTATGAAATTTGGAACTGAAACAGACCTTAGAAACATCAAAGTTTTCAAAGAGAGAGAAGAGACATGACCTTCATTACGCAGTCTGGGGACTTGGTCCTGGGCCCAGACCCAGCACTCATGTTGTGTTCTGTAATAGAAACTGTACCATGTTCCTAGAATCTGTCACTCAGACAATGGGATGGGGTGCTTCTTAGCACTGAATCTTTGACCTCAAGTATAAGCTGCTTGCGGTCAAGACTACACTGCAGACTATCCCTCTGGCACATTGAAGCTGTGGGTTTGAGGACCCCAGCATATTGGAGGAACATGGGATAACCCTCAAATCATTTTATTACTCACCACAGTAGAAAATGAGACCCCCCTATTTTGCTCCCCAGGGCTGGGAATGGGTCATTCAGGACTTTGACTTCCAATCAGCCTCCTGATGTGGGCTCCCAAAATGCGATGTCTCAGTCAGGCCTTGAGATATGAACCACAGGACAAAGCAGGGTTCTCCCTGCCATGGGACCCAGAGCGCGCAGACTTATGGGGGCCTGTGTCTGTGTGCTCTCCAGGGACATCCCCCGGCTCCAAGATGGCTCTGCAGAGCTCCTTCACTTGCTGGAACGGGACCGTCCTCCAGCTCGGGCAGGCCTGCGACTTCCACCGGGACTGTGCCCAGGGAGAAGACGAAGGCCAGCTCTGCAGTGAGTAGTTGGGGCTGCCCCCACCCCCCCATCCCAGCCTGAGCCCACACCTACCCTGCCCCTCCCACCCCCAAGCACAAGAGCTCAGACAGCCTCCTTCAGGTCCGCTGTCACTTGTCTCCTCCAGACAACTTTCAGGAGCTACACGGTCTCCAAAAGAGCTCAGACTTGTATTCTACAACAGCATGCAAGTGAGGAACCAGGACAAAATCTCATAGTTCTGCTCTTGCGCCCTTGTGGCACAGAGGAAACGTGCAGGAGAAAGACCAAGTCTGAAATACGGTGTTAGAAACCCTCACTTTATTCACCACCCACCTGCTATTGGCATCCCCCCACCCCCACCCCCACCCCGCACTCTCCCAGCTCCTTCCTGCCCTTGTGGCTTTACCAGCACCCCCTGCCAGATGCCTTTCCCATCTCAAGTCACAGCAAAATGCTAAATCCAAAGCAGCTTTCTTCATCACAGCCCAGAGTGGAACAACCCAACGCCACAGTGTAGTTGAACCTTCTCCCTGCTCCTCAGGTCTCCCCACACCAGTGGTTCTTCTGGGCTGCCTCCTTTGACCATCCCCTATAAGTAAGCCCACGGGGATTACAAGTGAGATGAAAAAAAATGCAAAAATGATGTAAAAATAAGCATTCCTGTTCAAGTTTTTCTGTGCACAGATGTTTTCATTTCTCTTAGACAAATAGCTAAGAGTAGAATTGGTCTTAATCTATATTCTGCATTTTGAGGAAATCCTGTTTCCAAAGTGACTGAGCCCTCTAACATCCCCACCAGTAATGTACAAGGATTCCAGTTTCTCCACATCCTTGTCAACCCTTGTTATTCTCTGTGTTTTGACTTTAGCCAACCTAGTGGGTTTGCATTAGTTGCATTTTATGAGGAGGTTTCCATGGCTCTCTTTCTGGTTAGGTCAGGTATTCCCCCCAGCCCCATCATCTCAAATGATTTCTGCCACAGTGGCCACAGACCCAGTGTAGATCATAATAAATTAATGAGTAGAAACTTGTACTAAACAGAGAAAAACAAACTGCTGAAGTCTCACTGGTACTTGGGATAGAACTGGATTCCTAGCCCAGTGTTCATGCCAGTACAGTATTCTCAGGAGCTGCCTGGCTAGGAGTATACCAAAGGCTATTACAGATTTGCCAGGCAGAGCACAAACACCCAAAGAACACCTATAATGTGGATGCAGAAAATGTGCCAGATCCTGGAGCAGAAGTGTAAGCTCAACACCCGTCCTGAACATCCACTGTCAGGACCAGGGGATGAAGCAACAGAGCCACAGTGTATGTGGGTGCAGAGCCGAACGTAAATGCCTGGCGCCTCAGATACACTGGCCCCAAGGCACTGTACCTGCAGAAGAGCCTTAGAAAGATCACAGCATCCAGCAGGTCATCCAGAGGTTTCATTGCCTTTGGGAGAAAAAAAAAAAAGGTTTCATTTAGTCTCTTTTAAATGAGATCCGTTTTTCAATTTGAAAATTTCCTTTTCAAATGACATTTTCCAATTATGATGGTATTATGATTCGTTAGCTAAAACTCCAGAGAGTTGCAGGTAAACACTTTGCTGTCCCCACACTGCTCTGCACCTGGGCTTTCTCCAGAACTCTCACTGCCCACACACACCAAGATGAAGCCGCTGCTCACATTGCCCCTAGCAGGCAGCGTGTTCCTCTCTCACTGTACATCTTTGCAATGTTTCCAGCAGTGCCTCTGAGCTGTGTGATGTTCGCTTTTGCCTTTTTAAAGTTACAGTCCCACTACCCAGCTGGGACACAGGTCAGCTAAGGCCCTGGCCTGATTTACAATTGGGAAAATGAAAGCACAGAGAAGGTAATTGATTTGTTCAGGGTCACACAGCATGTCAGGAACAGAGCCACGGTTCGGGCGTGAGCCAGCGGGATGCAGCCCATTACTGTGGGCCCAGTGCATTTCCCCACCGATCCAGGATGGTCATTAGCAGGTTTCTAGGGCCAACTCCAAGCTGGAGGGCAGGTGCCTGGGGCCCGCAGGTCTTTCCTACCACACTTGAAAAGCTGCTCCGACCAGCTGTCAGAATGACAGCTCCACCCTGGAGAACATCCCCACCGAGTTCTTTGCTTCAGAAATCGGTGGCTGGGAGGAGAGTTCAATTCAGAAGGCGGGTTATTCTGATCTTTTTGTCACTCTGATCCTGGCAGTACTCATCACAGATCCTTTTCCTTACTCATGTGCCCAATTCTCTCTGGCAGTTTTGCTATTTTCCCTATCACACTGACTGATGTTGGTTCTAGAAACCATCCCCACAAAGATAGCAGCAATCCTAATAGTGCTCCACATGAACTGAGCATTTACTATGTGAACTGAGCAGTTACTGCTCTAAAATTCACACACTGGCTTGCTCTTCACAACAGCCCTGTGCAATATCCTGTACCTCTCTCAGAGCAACAACCGAGTCCACGCTCAAAGTCCTAGCCAGCGGCTAAGCAGTGAGTGACTCAGGCTCAGCCTGACTCCAGAGCCCACACTCTGCACCACTACAAACAGACCAATTTATTTGATGAGTTTGCAGTCGTTAGCAGAACCCTTGTTGTGTACCCCACCTCACCCCAGGAGAAAGGAGCTAGGAGAAATCAGGGAAACCTAGGTCTCTGCCATCACCTCTGGGGGTGGACTGGAGGTGGACTCAGGTCAGCATCCCGTCTCTGGGTCTCAGTTTCCTCAGTGGTAATGTGATTTGTAACATGAGACCCACTGATGTCCAGGATACATTTAAGACAATGCTGTTGAGTATGCTGGTTCTTCCCAGGACATCGGAAGCTACTAAAATGTTTTCTCGGAGCAAATGGTGACCCCTTGAGGGTCCCTAATACTGGACCAGAGTAGCCAACCAAGTGCTACCATGCTGGAATACAAAGAGAAAAAGTAGGTTGTGTTCTCTTGAGTCCCACCTCAATTTCTACATTCCCAGGAAGGGATTCAGCACACTGGCAGTTCTTCAGCTGACCACACTCAACCCTGAGTGACACTTCTGGCCTGGGTGAGTGGGGTCTGAAATGAAGGTGTCATTGCCCTTACCCTTCACCGTTCCATTAGGACAGCCTCCAGCCCCTTCCCTCAAACCCATGCACCATGGGTCATGTTCCCGCCTCCCTCCTCTCCGGTACAGTCACCGCTGATTTCCAATCAGACATTGCTGATCTAAGTGACACTCCCCAGGACGCTGTCACCCTTCTGTGGATGTCTTCTAGATTGCCTGTGTGCTGAGTGGTGGCCTCACTGGAATGCAGAGCCCCGAAAAAGGGTCACGTGTCCCACTTCATTCCCTGGAAAGTCCATCGACTCACTGGGAATTTTAGGCAGTTTATTTCTCTTCCATGCACACAATATCCTCATCGGTTTGGGGGAATTCTCTTCTTCCCAGGCAAAGTTTTTGAAAAGCTTATTTCCTTATTGTAAAATAAACCACAATGGTTGGAAAATTTAGAAAAATGCCCATGAGAAAATAACTACCACCCATAATCCCCTCTTTCGGGCATTCAGAAAGAACCATAAGATTTTGTTGTTTTTCTTCTAGTATTTTTTCCCCATAGCTCCATATTTTCAAGGAAATGCATAGCACATATTTATCAAGTGTGCTAACAGACTGTCACACAGGAGGGACAAGCAGCGTCACTTGGCCTGGAGTTTATACTTCGCAGCTCCTGTGGCTGCTGCTAGGTCATATCTCTGAGAGTCTATCAATTTGTCTCTCTTAGAGTGGAATCAGGTGTCATAATTGCCAAATGTTGCAGGATTGATTGACCCCTCCTCCCCCACATCCAGCCCAATTTGGTCATCCAGCCAGTCAAACAACTGGCTGCAGCCCAAGAAGGGAGTGGGTCAGAGCACCGCTTCTCCCACATTATGGGTCATGGGACTGACCCAGCGCATGAGTTAAAAGCAGATTCTGATTCAGTGGGGGATCAAGAGGCTTGAGGTTCCATATTTCTTTTTTTTTTAAAGATTTATTTATTTATGCCTACAGAACCGGGTACAGGCCAGAGGTGCAGGGATGGTGAGAGGATTCACCAGAGACAGTTGGGAGCAGGACAGGCAGATCATCAAAGTACACTGCTGAGGGGAGCAGCAGGCGGGACAGGAGAGGTCTGCTGCACCGAGTTTCCATACTTCTAACAGCTGATGCGCTGACACTGGTCCCTGGACCACTGTTTGAGTAGCAAGGTGTTAGAAAATTGAACCCATGCAGCAAGTAAGTGTTCAGATGCCACATACACCAAGCACTGAGTTAGTGCTTGGGGTGAAAGAGAAGAGGAAGGAGGAGGGGATACCCAAATCTGGGTGCCAGCTTTGTGGCAGCAGGTGGCCCCAGCAGCAGTCTCCCAAACCCAGCCCAGTCCAGCAAGGATCATGGCTCTGGGGCCACCAGCTCCCTGGGGGGCAGCTGCTTGCGGAGCGCACCCTGATGTTCTTGAGTGACAGGAATCCTCTCAGCCCTGCCCCCAGGTTTTGTCACACGGCCTACCTATCTGCCTACCTCCTCTCCTTTTACTCAATCACCTGAAAACAAAGGAGCTTCCCATCCCAGCTCAGCCTGGACCCTTTGCCAAGCCAACACAAGGATGGGCTTCCGAGGGTGGAGAATGCCACAGACTGTCCTCATTCCTGTCCAGGTGAAGGCGCGGGCACCACAGGCTTGTCCCAGAGGCAGGTGACGGACTTGTCTCTGCCCCCAGGTAGTATTCAGTTTCCCCAGCCCAGGTAAGAATTAATAATGCCACCTCCATTCTCTATTGGCTCAACTCTGCTATCCTCAAAATGCTTCCACATTCTCTCCCCGTGAAGACCCCAAGTTCAGCTATGGGCTCTCGGAAGGGCGTGACTTGCCTAAGGTCACACACACAGTGGTAAGCAGGAAGCGAGGCCCAGGCCCAGGGGTCAAGGGTCAGGGGCTTAATGCTGTTCAAGTACCAGCACCCGCTCATTTCTCTGCCTCCACCTGTGCAAAGGCAAAGAGACTGAGGTGCTGTGCCAGCCACAGCTCCGCCAGGGCCACCGCCGCCTCCTCTCAGGAGCCCGCCGCCGGCCGGAGTCTTCCCTTGTGGTCTTGGTTTAAAGCTCGCTGTGAAGGACACTTCTGGAAGGTCATGTCCAGCTACCAGTTCGTTTTTGCAAGAGAATTGGACAAGGGATCCCTTGAGGGGGGCATAAAAAATAAAACAGAAAGATCTCCTTAGCCTTTGGATATTTAATCAGAAGAACGTGGGGCTTGGGGGGGAAATGATTTCTTCAGGGGTGTATAAATGGGAAGAGATGCTCAAAGTCAGTGACAGCCTGTTTTAATTTATAATTCTGCCTCCGTGTGAAATGCACAGAGAATCGGGGGGAAGTGAGTAATAATTCACCAAGGTGCTGTCACAGTCAGGAAGTCTTAGGGCTCTCTCTGTCAGCTGGCTGCTGACAGAGGAAGGACGTGGAGATCGGTGGGTCTCAGCTGGAGAGTTGCTTTTCTCCTCCAGGAGACTTAGTCCTGCTGCTTCCTCAAGGCCCCGCCGGGATGGTGGACGCTGGGATGAATGCCCGGGATGGCCACTCACGCCTCAGGGCTGAGTGTACCCCGGCAGCCACCAAGCTGGGGAACGTGAACTCTCCCTAACCCCCTCCATCCCTGCTTCCGGGCGGTTGGGAAATACGAGGTCCAGAAAGCTGACTGTGGCCTCTTCCCAGGGACCCGAGGTCAGTGTGATGTGGAGAAAAGGTAATCGTGCCCTGTTTGCTGAGCCAGCACAATCTCTGGGCCCCACTGACTGGGACTGCTTGGTCAGGAGAAGCTAGGTCATGCTTCAGTAATAAACCACCCCAAACTTTCAGACGTAGCATAACATTTATAGAACCTGTCCCCTAAGAACGGAGGCGGGAGGGGACCGAGTCCAAGGACCCCGGAGCCCAGCCTGGCAGGGGCTCCCCAGCACACTGCACCACGCTCTCCTGAGCCACTCCAGGAAGCTGAGCGAGTGCCGCACGCCTTAGCCTATCATCCATTCCCATTTCGGGGCCCAGAACCGCCCGTGTGGCTTCGCTTAAGGCGGCTGGGACAGGCAGGGGTGGGAAGAGAAAAGTTTAAGCCACAGGCGACTCTGCAGGTGGGTGATTTGTGGGCTCCGAACCAGCTCCTGCTCAGGTACAGCTGCGGCCCCACACCCCCGTGGCTGCTGACCTGCACGTCAGGTGCCGTGTGCGTGGTGGCCCAGTCCAAGGAGCACGGGGTTTGGAAGCAGAAGACCTGGGTCAGATCCCAGCAGGGTGACCTGTAGCTTGTGCAGCTGTGGTTGGGGTGCTAACATCTCTGAACTTCTGCTTATCACACCGAAATCCAGCTCATCAGGACCCACACTGAGGAGTTTGTTCATGATTACTTTATTTTCTGAAGACTACAGAATTTTGCTGCCGCACAAGGAAGGTTGGGAGTTTTCTTCATCGGGATTTCTGGGGAGCTGTTTCTAATGTGAATCATTTGGCCACGCCTGACTAATTTTACTCCATGTCGGCTTGCTTTGCCTTTAGCAGTCCTGAAATGACAACGCCTCCGTGTTCTCCCTACAGGTAAACTCCCTGCTGGCTTTTACTGCAACTTCGAAAATGGCTTCTGTGGCTGGGCCCAAGGCCCGCTCTCACGCCCCACGCCCCGCTGGCAGGTTAAGACCCTAAAGGATGCTCGGCTGCAGAGCCACCAAGGTACTGCTGCTCTCCGCCCGTGCTTGCTAAGTGTCCCGCTTGGTCCTCAGGACTCTGCTCTGGGCCTCCTAAATGTGTCACTTGGCAGTAGCTCCATGCACACTTTGCCGAGAGATAAAGTACAAATGAATACCGCATGTCTTGCTTGCAGTCCACATCTGGAAAAGGGTCTGCAGTTCTCGAAGTCTCCCCACCACCACACGGGGTTGGAGTTTCGTGTTCTCCTGGGTTTTCAGACAGATCAGTGCTTAGATGACCCAAGAAATGAGTCTTCCTCATCAGGACAGCTGCTCTCCAGTGGGGGGAGGAGAAAGCACAGGTCCTAGAGACGTTGGAAGACCTGGCTGGAAGTAGGGCAGGAGGGCCTGGGGGTCCCAGCATGCTTCAGGGTGCACCTGGGCTGTGGACCTTGGCACATCAGGGAGGCAGTAGCCCCAGCGCGCCCATGGCTATTTGGAATGAAGACCGTCACATGCACCAGGTTGTGTGACGGTAGCAAGGGGCTGTCTTATCCCCTGAAGGCAGGACAAGGCAGGGCCTGCAAATCATTCCAGGCTAGAGAGGAAGGATGCAGAACCCACTCCCCCTGCACCCAAACCTTCCGGGCTTGATGACAGTGCAGTCCTGACTCTCTCCCTCTCTGCCCAGGCCACGCTCTGCTGCTGAGCACCGCTGACGTCCCCGCTTCAGAGAGCGCCACTGTGACCAGCACTACGTTCCCTGCACCCATGAGGAACTCTCCATGTGAGGCAAGTCTCGGTGTTGCCCTGACTCTCTGACTTCTCCCTTTCCTGCCCTGGCACCTCCAATGAGCAATGTGCCCAGTGCTGTCAGTCCCGCTTCCCCTCCCGAGGAGAAGACGACAGGGCCATTTTGCCATCTTCTAGAAAAAGATAACCCAGCAACAGGGTCAAGTCCCACCTGCAAAGAAACACCACAGACACCCATTCTCAGCTGCACTGAACTACTTGCAGAAAGACCTTAATTGAAACCCAGAAAAGATTCCCAAGGCATAGCAGGGGAGGGTAACAGTGATTTACAAACGTCTTTCTGCAGCATCCTTTTTAAAAATACCAAACTCACAGTACATTTCAAATTTCACAATACATTTCAGATGTGTAGCACATCTGAGATTTGATTTCCTTAACCTTCACTAAGATGTCAGTGGCATTCGGTGAGGTACCTCCAAGCCGCTCTCTCAGCTGCCTCCTGTGGCTGTTACCTCCTCGGGGTGAAGACTGAGGCGCTGGTACCACATTTCTGAACTCCTGGACCCTGGAATCAACTACCTGGCTCCAGGCCAGGTTCTCCAGCACGTACCCCAACCCACCCCCTGCCACTGATTGACTGCACGATTTTTCATAGCCTCTCAGGACCTCGGCTTCGTCACCTGGAGATAGATAGTGCCTGCCCGGTGGGGAGGAGATTAAATAGGTTCATGTATGGAAAAGGCCTGTCGCAGTCCCGGGCACAAGGTGAGTGTTACGGGCGTTAGTTAGCCACCGGCACCTGTCCGCACCTTTGGAAAGAGAATGGGGGGAAGAGAACTTCCCTCCCCGTGTCCTGCCTCAGTGTCCTGCCAAGAAGCACATATGGCCAGTCCTCGCGTTCTGGAAGCAACAGGAGACAGTCCTTTCTGGCTTCATATGCCCCTTCTGAGCAGTTTGCTTGTGGACATTGCTAGGTTGACCTGACTGGGCTGGGGAGGGGGGCATGGGCCCCCAGAGGTGCAGGAAACGGAAGACCCTCCTGAGGGACACAGGTGAGTCAAGCCTCTAGGCTTTTTGTGAGATAAAGACTCCCAGACGTAAATCAAATAAGAACGGAAAAGAGGTTGGCCATGAGTTTGTTGGAATCAGAGGAGCGGCGGGTCAGGCCCGAGCCTCCCCTTGGTGAGCAGAGGTGCACGTGCTGGGTCCTCTGACAGCCTCACGCCCACTCTGTTTTCTAACCCACCGTCGCCCCCCACCGTCTACTAGTTTTCTTCTTCTTGTTTCTAGGGTTCTTATTAACCAGACTTTCTGGAGCTCTGTGAGCTACCTTCAATCCTTTAGGGAAGAAGTCAGGGCACAAATAAATAGATTCATTACATTCAATTGTATTTGAGAAACCCACGCTGCCGGTGCAGCGTGGAATTACACAGCCAGCGTTGATACATCTCAGGTGCTTCAGAGCGGGCACCCAGAGAGGAGGCTGCTGACGGGAAAGCTAACGAGCAGAGACGCTCGGCCCACGTGAGCATCTGGTCTTTACATTTACTCTTCACCGGGTTTAATATGAGCCTAATTCCAGAAAAAGAAGTGACAAGGTAAAAATGACATTTTGCTAATGCTTCATCATTTTTCTAATAACCTTTGGGTTGATCAATAGCTTAAACAGGTGTTTTGTTTTACTGGCCTGTTTTATTTTCCCTGCAGTCGAGTTTGCTCTGGGCGATTTCTGCTATTTCCTGCCCTTTTCCAGAACCCGGCTCAGCAGGAGTAATGAAGGGAAGGCGGGCGGCCCGTCCATCCCCCCTCAGCTCGCTGGGATTTCACATTCAGGCTTTCCGGCCGTTCATCTGATGCTGATGGGTCTTTGAATTCCCAGTGTTGGGGGAAATGTTTTCATCAGGAAAATAAATAACCGAAATAGAAATATGCATTTCCAGGTGTGTAAGCCCTGCTATTTGTTTTATTCAGACCGTAACTGCAGAATCAGGAAGCTGACATCCTCCCAGGTTGGCTGAGCTCCAGGCCAGGGAAGCAGAGGGTGCTTCTCGTTGAGGCCCAGGGAGCTTGACGTGGCTCTTCCAGCCCCACCAACCGGAAGGGGCCTTCACTGTGGAGAGCAGGCACTAGCTGGAGCCCGGGAAAGGTGTCTGATGAAGGTCAGGCTCACAGCGACAGGAGGCGGCCCAAGCTGAGCTCCCCAGCGGGTGCCCACTGCTGACGGTCTTCTGTGACCCCAGGCCAGTGCTGGCCCATGAGTCCTCTAAGGGGTGGAGGTAATTGCAGGATATCTCAGGACGCTTCCTCGAGAACCCAAGCATCAGTGGATTCTACAGGGAGCTGGTGTAACTGGCCATGCATTTCCATGAAAACCTAGATACAGACTGACCAGTAGGTCTTTTTCACCTGTGGCAGTCATTTGGAAAAAGTAATGGATGCAAATGCTTGAGCCCAGTCCTGGGTTTGGGGGTCTGCATTTTAAACCTGTCCTGAGGATTGGGTTGCACACGGACACTTGGGAATAGTTGGCCGTGGATGTGCTCATTACACAGTACATAAGTGTGTTTTGAGCCTAGGCTGTTTTTCCCCATCACCTGTAGCCCCCCAAAATGGGATGTCCCTGCCTTTTAGAAAGAGGTCAGGGAATGTTAGAAATGATGGGGTGGAAGACAGATGCAGAGATGACAGAGGTGGAGGGCACCCCTGGAGCCACGTGGAGCCGGTCAGATGCTATCAACAACAGAGAGACAGCCAGAGTGTGCCTCCTTGGCAGTAGCTTCCAGGACATTCTAGAAGCGCCTCCAGCTCCAGCCTCCCTCCCGATGCCCACGGCTGCTGGCCTTGGTGCAGGCCCTGCCTCCTCCAGGGCCCTACATAGTTGCATATGGGGCATGAATATTTAAAGACCTCTGCCTAGCCCAGTCGCAAACAAGAGTGAGCTTGGCCGTTTTGTTTTTTTCGATGGGGTTCTTTTGCACCGCTCCCCCCGCACTCCAACACACACACACCGCACTCCCCTCCACAGCTATTCTCTGCAGGAAGCTGGGAAGCCATTTACAATTTATTCTGATTTTATTTTATTTTTATTTTGCTGAGCTCCAGTTCAAATAATTAAAGTTGCCACCGAGGAGGGGAGCCCGGTGGTGGCTGTCATGTGCTGCTGGCTGTCAGTCCTGCTCTCGTCTGTCCGCTGTGCGGGGAGGCACTGGGGATGTGTCTAGCATTGCAGCTGCTGGTAATAAAGAGGACTGAGAGCGCAGGGCCGTCCCCGCCCCTCCCCCTGCCTTTCACACATCCTAGAAGCCTGAATGTCTCAACAAGCCCCATGTGGTTTGAAATTCTATTTTATTTGAATAGCCTGCCTGTGACTAGAATATTTTAAACCATGTTCTCAGGACAGAACAGGCCTGGATGGAGGGGACAAAGGGGGCAAATGGACCTCATTCTCGTGCTCCATCCAACACATGAAAGCTGTTTTCTTTCTATGAATTGCTGGAGTGAAAGGGACCCAGGAAGTGGGACAGGACCAGTTGATGGGTGGTGACACCCTAGGGCAGGCCACTTCCCAGCTACTGGTTTTCTGACCTTGCCAGAGTGACAGCCAGCTCTGCCCTCTCCATGCACACACACACACACACTCTCTCTCTCTCTGTCTCTGTCTCTGTCTCTCTGTCTCTCTGTCTCTCTCTCTCTCTCTCTTTCTCGGGGATCCTGGAGCACAGCCAGGGCCTTCTGCCCCTGACGTCATTCTACAGTGATAAAGGGTTGGCTGCAGTTAGCCGCCAGGGGCGCTGAGATCAGGCAGAAGGTGACGTGGGCTCCTCCACGTGGACACGGACTGTCCAGCCTGCAGAGAGAAGCCCTCAGAGGGTGTCCTTATACCAGCAAGTGTCTTTTTGAATTTGTGTCTAATTACTTTTCAGATAAATATCCAGGAGAGAGATTGCTGGTCAAATGGTAGCCCCATTTTAAGACTTTAAGGAATCTCCATATGGCTCTCCCTAGAGGCAACAGACCTGCATTCCCATCAGCAGTGAGGGACCCTCTCTTGCTCCCCCCACCCCTGGCATGTATTGGTTCCAGTCTTCTCCGCTCAAGCTCCTCCCAGGTGTGAGGTGGTGTCTCCCTGGGGTTTTGATTAGCATTTCCCTAGTAATCAGTGCCCCCTTTTCATGCACCTGTTGGTCGTTTGCATGTTTTCTGTGAAGTGTCTGTTCAAATCTTCCCATTTTTGATGGTGTTTTTTGTTTGGATGTCCTGGCATTGTATGAGCTCTTGATAGTTTTTGGAGATTAAGCCCTTGTTGAATGATTGGTTGTTTTCCAAGTGAACATGGAAAACAACCCAGAACCCGGTGGCAGGTGAAGAGGCTGTGGTATGTACACTCCATGGAGCACAACTCAGCTGTTCAAAAAGATGAAGTCTTGCCAGCATGCGTGGAACTTGAGGTGATGATGCGGAGCGGAAAATAAGCCAGAAAGTAAAAGACAATGAGAACGGGTGGTTTCTCTCCTATGTGAGAGATAAACAGCCAAAGAAACTAACAGATCACAGCAAAAATAACTCAGGAGCTTTCTAAATGCAGTAGGTACCCAGAAGAGGAGGGGTACAGGCATCCACCCCAAAGGGCTCCCGAATCACAGTGGTGGGTGAAATGAGGTTAATACGCACACAGAAGGGAAGATGCACCCCCAAAATTTTCTAGTATTGTGAACCAGTGATAAAGCATTAAAACTTTTTTAAACAAAAGAAAACAGCCAGTGCAGCCCAGAGGAGCCAGATCACCTGGCTTTGCCCCCTGCCCTGGCTGCGCCCTGCTCAGGGTTCCCCTAAGAAGGACCCCCTGAGGCAGGGGGTTGGTGCACAAGGTCGGATGCCCTTCGGCAGTGCCTTTCTGGTTTATGGCATGTAGCTTCTTTGGGCTAGAAGTGCTCACCCTGGACACAGGGCCTGTGCTCCCTGGTGAAGGCCAGGGGTATCCGGCATCTTCAGACTGGCCTTCACCTGCTCCCCAGGAGCAAAGGACTTTCAAAGCAGGA